GTCATTATGCAAGGCACTGCATTTAGCCGTATGGAGTGGAAATCTATCAACTGCATGCTGTGTGTATATAAAGTCTGCTGCAGTTTCCACGGTATGCATCTGATGAAGTGAGCTGTAGCTCACGAAAGCTCATGCTCAAATAAATTGGTTAGTCTCTAAGGTGCCACAAGTACTCCTTTTCTTTTTGCGAATACAGACTAACACGGCTGTTCCTCTGAAACCTGTCATTATGCAAGGCACTGCATTTAGCCGTATGGAGTGGAAATCTATCAACTGCATGCTGTGTGTATATAAAGTCTGCTGCAGTTTCCACGGTATGCATCTGATGAAGTGAGCTGTAGCTCACGAAAGCTCATGCTCAAATAAATTGGTTAGTCTCTAAGGTGCCACAAGTACTCCTTTTCTTTTTGCGAATACAGACTAACACGGCTGTTCCTCTGAAACCTGTCATTATGCAAGGCACTGCATTTAGCCGTATGGAGTGGAAATCTATCAACTGCATGCTGTGTGTATATAAAGTCTGCTGCAGTTTCCACGGTATGCATCTGATGAAGTGAGCTGTAGCTCACGAAAGCTCATGCTCAAATAAATTGGTTAGTCTCTAAGGTGCCACAAGTACTCCTTTTCTTTTTGCGAATACAGACTAACACGGCTGTTCCTCTGAAACCTGTCATTATGCAAGGCACTGCATTTAGCCGTATGGAGTGGAAATCTATCAACTGCATGCTGTGTGTATATAAAGTCTGCTGCAGTTTCCACGGTATGCATCTGATGAAGTGAGCTGTAGCTCACGAAAGCTCATGCTCAAATAAATTGGTTAGTCTCTAAGGTGCCACAAGTACTCCTTTTCTTTTTGTCATTGTAAGGAGAGTGATCACTTTAGATAAGCTATTACCAGTAGGAGAGTGGGGTGGGGGGAGAGAAAATCTTTTGTAGTGGTAAACACCCATTTTTTCATGGTTTGTGTGTATAAAAAGATCTTCTGTACTTTCCACAGTATTCATCCGATGAAGTGAGCTGTAGCTCACAAAAGCTTATGCTCAAATAAATTGGTTAGTCTCTAAGGTACCACAAGTACTCCTTTTATTTTTGCGAATACAGACTAACACGGCTGTTACTCTGAAACCTAGGAATGCTTTGACTTGCAGGGCTGGATCTTGCAAGCTGATGACTACCTCCTTGTGACATGCCAAACACCTGTCACTCATTGACATAAAAAAGAATTGAGCATGCTCAGTGTTTGAAGGCTTGGACTCCTTATAAGGTACTGAAAAGGTAAGTGTCTTATTTTCATCCAGATCTTTCAAATTCCAGCGCCCATGTACACACAGGGACATATCTTACTCCAACTGAAATGGCTGGTAAAACTTATGTTAACTACAGTGGAAGCAGGATCAAGCAAAGCAAGCACAAAAAAGGTCATTATAAGTCAAGCATTATAAGTTTTGGCATTACTAAATAAATGTCAATAATTATAATTAATAAAAGTCCAAGTCTTCAAGGTTGAGGTATGAAGCTTCTAGCTACAACAGTCCATGACAAGCTATTTGTGCAGTAATAAAATTAAGGAGCCAGGCTGACATCCTTTGGGCTGCATGTTAGACTCCGCAGAACAATTTCTAGGGAGCATATTTTAGGAACTAGAATCTGCAGTCTCTGAAGTCACAGCAGTGAAGCAGGAAAGTCACATTTTGACAATTAGGTGAGCAGAGACACATCCTGGAAAACAATACAGGATTACTCCAGCTAAGAGCTTGGTTCAATTCAGATTTAAATCCAACAAGGATGTCATGGATCCACAGGTCTGGTCTGTGTCCCAGCCTGTAATCAGTCTCTTGGGAGTCACCCCTTTAATGTGCAGGGTCTCAACTCTGAGACCCAGCCTTCAGCACCAGTAATTCCTGTCTCTCTCTCTCTGGCTCCCTGCAGTGAATCCAGCCAAGCCAGAGTCCTGTGAGAGACTTGTACTGTAGCCCGTCAGGGTGCAATGATCTCATTGAGTATTTGCAGTGACACCAGGCAGCCTTTCCAAAACAAGGTAACAGTTTATTAGTCACCTGGCACACAAAATCTGAAAGTTCTGGCCAGGCAGTGCCACAAGCCAGCTAACTTGTCATGGACTCCAGTTCCAGCACTCCCTCCCCATCTCTTTGTCCTTAGTCCCATGTGAGAGAGCACCTGAGAGTCTCTCCAAAGGGCAGCTCTTATTTAGCCAAGTGACCTGACACCTTCTCTTCTTGGTTTTCCAGTTCAGTTTGCATATCATGTCTGCGGGGGTTTCCTACTTTTAGGTGTTGATTGTTCAGTGGCTGGGGGGGCCTCCTTGTTTTCCTGGATCCTCTGTTAATTTGGGTCAGTTTCAGCCAGTTCTTTAATGATCCAGCCATTCCACCCAGACAGCGAGGTGACAATCATACCTCCTGTCTCCTGCGCTGTTCCAGGAGCCCGGTTAACCGTTTTGCTCCCACTGGGTAGCAATGTGCAGTGCAGAGAAAATTGAGGCATGCATCAGAATCATAAAAATATTACAGAAAAATTTTCACTTCATCACAAAGGGTTTGCAGTTAGAGTTGATCAGCAAAAAATTATGAAAAGATACATTTTGTTTGTTCTGCTTGGGTTTTTGTTTGTTTGTTTACCCTAGATTAGGTAAAAAGAAAAGGAGTACTTGTGGCACCTCAGAGACTAACAAATTTATTTGAGCATAAGCTTTCGTGAGCTACAGCTCACTTCATCAGATGCATTAGATTATGTTACATTCCTGATATTTCTATTTTTGCTGCAGAACTTTCTTAAAGGTATGAGAAGTGCGTGAGCTCAGAGTCTCACAAAAGTGGCAATGATGTTGAAATTAAGTCATACTTTTTTCCAAATACTCATCAGACAATTAGAGTTAAACAGGCATTAACAAAAAAGTTTTACAATGTCTGACTTAAAAATCTCTCCCCTCTCCATTTCACTTTCCGTTCTTACTCTTGTCATGGTTTTACTAGTTCTCCCATAAGCAGGGTCTTCCAGGATACAAATTCAGGTGTTGTATACATTTGTTAGTGAAGTTTGGCATGCATTAGACATTATGAAGCTGCAACAAAGGTCAAAACTTGTTTCCTTTGCAATTCACCTTTAACATCAAAGGTAAGAGAGTCTGGAGGGTAGAGTTGACAAGTTTGGTGATAATATTGTTTAGCTAGGGAACATCAGTTTATCATGCAAATTCTATGTTGCTAATCAAATCTTGGAAATCCTTTTTGTAAAATATAAACTTGGTTTCATGAAATTGCAGAAACACCCCAAAAGTACAACCCCTGTCTCTTTCCAAGTGGTTTTCCTATAACCTGTCCCTGTACAACATTAAGGACAAATCATGACGCAGTTTTAACACTAGTTATAATACAATGCAGAAAGACAAGAAATATGCTTCATTTTCTGCATCTATTCTTTATTAGGAATTTTATGCCAAAGAATTTGGTTATCATTAGACATAGGACATGGCATGTCTAGCCTGTTACTAAACAAACAATCTTTCCCTACCCAAAGGGTAATGGTAATCAATGTAGTTTAATCAACCAGGTGATAAAAATGTTATTTCAGAGACTTGGATTGCTTACATTACTCTTAAGTATCCTACTGTAAAATCTGCTAAATGAATGCTTCTCTTCAAAAGAGTTTTATATTTTGTTGTTGCATCTGCATGTCTGGCTTCTGTGTAACAAAACGACAACAACAAAAAACCACACAGAGAGAAGCCACAACTTGTGAAGTCAAGCAAAGCTTTGGATGAATTTTTTTCTGTTGCCTAATCACCAAGGGTGAAGTGACGGCCCTCTGTTCAGGGTGGAATGTCCCCAAGGTGATAAAACATTTCCTCATAGAAGGTTTTATAACCAAATTAGAAGTTCACAGTATAAGAATCTGTTTTTACTGTCGCAAAGGTCAAAACTTCAAGGCGAGCACCTGAAGTGTCACATGAAGTGAGCTGTAGCCCATGAAAGCTTATGCTCAAAAAAATTTGTTAGTCTCTAAGGTGCCACAAGTACTCCTTTTTGCGGATACAGACTAACACGGCTGCTACTCTGAAACCATTCTAATAACTGCAGCTGCATCCAATCTAAAGCCTCCCAGCTGCTGAACCACCCAACATTCCTATTGCCCCTCCACTGCTCAGCAGTTGCTCCTTCCACCTCTCTGACCCGCACTCTCTCCTGCTCCATCAGCCCCATCACACTGACCACCCCATCCACTCACTTGATCCCCCTGCCTCACACCTATTGCTTTACCTGACCTAAATCCCCCTAACTTCTCAGTCTAGATTCCTTCCCCGACTATTACAATCCACAGACAAGAATCAGTTTTATGCCATGTAATTGTAGCCATGTCCCAGGATATTAGAGAGATAAGGTGGGTGAGGTAATATCTTTTATACTTCTGTTGGTGAGAGAGACATGCTTTTGAGCTTACACAGAGCTCTTCTTCAAGTTTTCTTCAAGTCTGAGGGTCATAGCTAAATGCAAGGTGGAACAGATTGTTTAGCATAAGTAGTTGGCACATATTCTAAGGGATCATTCAAGGTAGAGTGGCCTGTTAACACCTCTGCAGTTATACAACAGAAAGAGAGGGTTAGTGCATTACAGATTGTTGTAATAAACCATAAATCCAGTGTCTACTACTACTAATGCTAAACAACCTTGCATTTAGCGATGATGCTTGGAGTACCTTCCCTAGACCTGAAGAAGAGCTCTGTGTGGCTCGAAAGCTTGTCTCGCTCACCAATAGAAGTGGGTCTAATCAATTATATTACCTCACCTACCTTGTCTCTCTAAGATTCAGTTTTGTCAGTTTTCCAGAAAAGAATTAAGGGGAAACCATTTTGTTACTTTCAGTTAACTAGTTTCTAATTCCCCTTTTCATGTACTTATACAGGTATAAAGAAAAGGAGTACTTGTGGCACCTTAGAGACTAACAAATTTATTTGAGCATAAGCTTTCGTGAGCTACAGCTCACTTCAGCGGATGCATGCAGTGGAAAATACAGTGGGGAGATTTTATATACACAGAGAACATGAAACAATGGGTGTTACCGTACACACTGTAACGAGAGTGACAAAGCCAGAAGAGTACCCAAAAGTTACCTATTACAGGACAGGCCCAACAAAGAAAATAACAGAACGCAACTAGCCATCACCTTCAGCCCCCAACTAAAACCTCTCCAACGCATCATCAAGGATCTACAACCTATCCTGAAGGACGACCCATCACTCTCACAGAACTTGAGAGACAGGCCAGTCCTTGCTTACAGACAGCCCCCCAACCTGAAGCAAATACTCACCAGCAACCACACACTTCACAACAAAAACACTAACCCAGGAACCTATCCTTGCAACAAAGCCCGTTGCCAACTGTGTCCACATATCTATTCAGGGGACACCATCATAGGGCCTAATCACATCAGCCACACTATCAGAGGCTCGTTCACCTGCACATCTACCAATGTGCCATCATGTGCCAGCAATGCCCCTCTGCCATGTACATTGGCCAAACTGGACAGTCTCTATGTAAAAGAATAAATGGACACAAATCAGATGTCAAGAATTATAACATTCAAAAACCAGTTGGAGAACACTTCAATCTCTCTGGTCACTTGATTACAGACCTAAAAGTGGCAATTCTTCAACAAAAAAACTTCAAAAACAGACTCCAATGAGAGACTGCTGAATTGGAACTAATTTGCAAACTGGATACAATTAACTTAGGCTTGAATAGAGCCTGGGAGTGGATGGGTGATTACACAAAGTAAAACTATTTCCCCATGTTTATTCCCCCCCACTACTGTTCCTCACATATTCTTGTCAACTGCTGGAAATGGCCCACCTTGATTATCACTACAAATCCCCTCCCCTGCCCCCGCTCTCCTGCTGGTAATAGCTCACCTTACCTGATCACTCTTGTTACAGTGTGTATGGTAACACCCAGTGATGAGCTGCCAAAATCTTAACAACCAGTTCCCTCCTCACCCCACGAGGGGGTTGTGGCCCGGCCCCGCCCCCAGGACTCCTGCCCTGCAGAGCACCCACGGAGTCAGCACCTGCGCACGTAGACATATCCTACGTCTTCCAAGTCACTTGGGCACGTTTGAAAATTTTACCCATAATAAGCAACATTGTACACCTGTCCATCATACCTAACAATGACATCACAGCATCTCACATATAGTAATACATATGTAGGCATGTGTAGGCTCCTGTTGAAGACTTGACATAGCGCTTAGCCCTTTTTTCAATCATTTTTTCATGTCTGTCTTTCCCAAAGTGTTTATATTCTTTATTGATAGTTGCTCTCCATTCTGTTCTGTCCTGGGCTGTGTCTTCAAGGTTATCTATATCCATGTCACGTGAGCAAGTTGAGATTCTACTTAAGGGTATCTTTCAAGTGTTTATGTTGACCACTATTTCTGTGCTGTCTGAGTTTCAGCTTACCATAGAGGACTTTTTGTGGGACTCAATCACCACCCATTCTGATAACATGACCTGTCCATCTAAGCTGAGCTTTCCTGATCATTGCCTCAATGCTGGTTGGTTTTGTTCTTTCCAGGATGATAATGATTTACACTTATGGACCTTCAAAACAAAGCAAAGACAGCACATGTGAAATTTTTCAAGTTGTTTGATGTGTCTGGGGTAAACTATCCATGTTTCACGTCTGTATAAAAGAGATGCTCTGACAGCTGAATTGTACCTCAGTTTTATTGACAGTTTGTTGGTATACAGCTGAGTATCCTATAGCGAAGTCTTCCAAAAGCCAGGCTTGCCTTTTAGATTCTATTTGATATTTCTTGATCCAAGGAACTGTCACTTGAGATGGTACTGCCAAGGTATGTAAAGTGATTGATGTGCATTAGTTTTGTACTATCAATGGTGACGTTTGCTCTGTGATAGTGGTTGATGGGACTGTTTGGAAGAGGACTTTGTTTTTTCCAGGCTGATGGTGAGTCCAAACTGTTTAGTTGCTTTTGAGAACCTGTCAAGGATAAGTGGTAGGTCACTTTCACAATCATTCACAAAAAGGACTTCACATATGAGTTCCTCAAGGACTTTTGTCTTTGCAATAAACTTTCAGAGACTGACGAGTTTTCCATCAGTTCTGAACCTTATGTAGATGCCCTTTTGAAGATTGTTAGCTGCATAATTCAGAACAGCTGCAAAGAAGAGACCAAAGAGGACTGGTGCCAGCACACAGCCTTGTTTCACCCCCCATTAAACATGGGAAATTGATTAGAGAGACCACCATCTGACAGTACTTGACCAGTCATGTCTTTGTAGAATTGACATATGATGTTAAATTTGGTGGGCCAGCCAAACTTTCCTAAAATTTTCCAGAGGCCATTTCTACTCACAGTCGTTGAACACTGATTTTTAGATCAATGAAGACAGCATACAGTTTTGTTCACTGCATTTTTCCTGAACCTATCTCACAATGAAGCATGTCTGTGGTGCTATGACCTGATCTAAATCCGTATTGGGTCTCTAGTAGAAGCTTCTCCAATACTGTTTTGTCATGTCAGCTGAGCAAAATATAAGCAAGGATTTTACCACCTACAGTGAGATTGCTGAAACTGCCACTGTCCTATAACTGAGCAAAATTATCACTGAAGTCATAGGACTTACCATATTTGTCAGGTCAGTGACTGATCTACTCTAATAGTGGCTACTAATTTTACTAAAAGATACTTCATATGGTGTAACAAGAAGACCTGAAGTGGGAAGTTATGGAATAATGTTCCCATGTGGGAAGATTCATCTCAGTTAAAGAAAAGAGGTTGTCCCTATATTTTCAAGCTTGATTGACATTATTCTATGTTGCTTCAAATGGGTTATTTGTTTTACATTGAAGTTAGAGGCTTTCATTGCCTTGAATGAAGGTGTGAAAAGTGCAGAGGAGTAATTTAAGTTTTTAATTTTGCAAACTATAAAAACCCAAATTTTTAAGATATAAAAACCTTTTGTGACAGACTCAGACCAGAAGGATACAACAGAGTAGTAAAAGCTTCAGAATGAGCAGCTCCCTGTTCCCTAGATAGCCAAACAAAGGCTACGCCAGGCTAATCGAGACACCTGATGCCAATTAACCAGTTAAGGCCGTTAGGCTAATGGAGACAGCTGGAACCAATCGAGGTCTCACTCATACTGCTTAAAAGCTCTCCTTCCCAGTTCCCTTGTGGGAAGGGTAGGTGAGAGGCCGGGCGGGGTCGGGGCGGGGCGGGGCGGGGCGGGGCGGGGCGGGGCGTAGCGTAAGGGTAAAGCCAGGAAAAGGGGACCATGGGGAAGTAGCCCTGGGAATCAAAGCAGTGTCAGTGGTGAAGGGAAAATTGCTAACAGCTGCTGCTATTAGGGTCCTGGGCTGGAACCTGGAGTAGAGGGTGGGCCTGGGTTCCTGCCCTTCCCCCCATGCTTTACAGAGATCCCCTTGAGGGACAGCAGACTTGCCTCCAGGAAGGAGGACAAGCTGCACCTACTGAGCTCTAAGGAGCAACAGAGACTGTGGGTATTCTACCTCCCATACTGGTCTGTGATGAAAGTAGCTCAATAAGCTGTGACCTTTGCCATTATACTGAGAAAGGGAGGTCATATTGAGGGCCTTAGTGAGCTTCTGAGGCCACTGAATCCACCTGGAAGCATGGAACCCACCAGTACAGGCTTGGAGCTTTGTCACACTTTCCAAAATCCTATTCATATGCAATTTTATTTGGATAAAATGGAAAACAAAACATTGAAAAAATACAGCAGGCCTAATGCTGTAATTTTGGTGAAGGTAAAATTTTCACTTAAACCAATGAGTGTTACCTGCCTGAAAATACAAGAACTGGATCAATTTATTTTTCTTCAAATACAAATTTAGGTGCCTAATTATGTTGAACATGAATAAGCATACTTATGATGGCCTTGCTTCTAGCCATACCCACTTATATTTGTGGCCAGTTAAGCATCCAGAAGGTTTAAATTTCTTAAGAGCTACATACTGAAAATAGTAAAGTGTGCACTAATACAATTACACACTATCAGATTGAAAATGTAGACCTCCGTGTCTACAGTTATGTCACTCTTCACTAGTGATGAAGGGCTCTAGATCAAGGGTTCCCAAACTTGGTTTGTGGCTTTTTCAGAGGAAGCTTTGTTTACCTGAGCGTCCACAGATATGGCTCAATGGGAAGGTCAACTAGATTTCACAAAATTGAGTTTTGGAAAGATGAAGTGTGAGAGTTATGACTGATCTGTAACAAATAATTCTGTACACATGTATAGTCTGCAGTCAATGGGGAGAAGAAGCTGCTGTCCCCCATGCTCCCTCCTTTAATCCCTGGACTACAGGCATGTCTAGTATTAGAGAGCAGAGAGAACATAGTCAACTGTGTGTTAAGATTAGACGATGTAACCCATCAAAACAAGCCATAAAAGCAAGGAAATAACCACTTAAATAATGCAACTTCCCCATTTCTCATCCATAATCCACCTTCCAGTTCCCCTTCTCAGCCTCAACTACCCCCATTATGCCACCTACAGCAGACATATTTCCACCCTTACCCTGAAAAAGGAGTGGGTGCCCTTGAGCTCTGACCATCTTTGTTGGCAATATGTTCCTGTATTGCAATGACAAATGTAGGATTGGGGTGTGCGTCTTTCAAAAGTTATATTGTATACACTTTGAGCTGGGAAAAAAAGGAGGACATTTTCTGGCAAAACTTGTTTTCAGAACAAACCATTTCAATGTCTCATTTCAAAATGAACCACTGTCTTTTGAAACATTATTTCAAAAATGTCACTTTGAATCACATTTCATTTAGAAATGACAACTTGAAACATTTAACTTGACCCAAATGAATTTGTTTTCAGTTTTTCATTTTGGCAAGAAAAAAAAAACCAGTTTGCATTCAAAAGGAAACTACCTTTTCCCCCCCAGATTTGTCAGTTCAACCACTGAACAAATAAATACATAAATTTTTATTCGCTCGGCTCTACTTCCTAATTCATGTAACAGGGAACTAAAACACATTCTCTTCTCAATACTGACTGCAACACTATATAACAGCCTGCAGAGGTACTACAAATCAGAATTTGCAGTTTATTGATAGTACAGGAAGGAAAAGTTTGCACACCATGGCCAGATTCTGATCTCAGTTTTCCCCACTGGGTGAGGTTGCATTTATGTAAAAGACAGCAGAATTCTACTCCAACCACTGAAATCTAGGCCTAGTTATTCTGAATATAATATTCATTACCTTATGAAGAATTTCTTAAAGAAAGTGCTTGAAATATTTATCTAGATTGTTTTACTATTAAAAAGTAATACTATTCATAATAGCTCACTCATTCTGGAATGTGATGCGGTAATCTATACTGTACAACTAGTTACAATTTCTATGATGGCAGAGGCTCTATTGTTATATGTAAATTAGATATCTTCAGGTATCTGTGAGGGCTGTATCATGGTTTGATCATATCCATAAAAGTACACTAAAGTACGCATTTCACAGTAATTATATGCCTTTAAGACTAAGGCTACTGAAATAGTTTCACAGCTTGAGCCAAAATGATTATATAACAGAAGTTGGTAAAACAGTCATTATTTCTAATTATCTTAGAATAAAATTAACATTTTGGTTTAATGCTTGCATATAATATTTAAAATTGTTTAATGTGAGATGTAATACCAGTGTGCTGCAGCTCACAGTGCTATTATGAAACATAAACATGCATAATTAAGTCTTTGCAACATCATGCTTGTTCTATGTTACTTTATATAAGAAGTCTGATTCTCAATTTAACTTGACGTACAATCTAATGGCAGCCGTTACATCAAAGAGAATAGGAATGCTCAACTGTTTCTGAATCAGGAGAAAGTATATTTGAAGTTGACACCACAGAATTAGCACGGCACTCTCTAATGCTTTAGAGTGAAAGTGACATTAAGATTAGACCTGGGTGAAATATTTTCCATGAGTAAAAATGTAGTTTCAGTCAACCCAAAATGATTAATGCATTTGTGCTGAGGTCACTGAATAGTTTTGACAAAACTGAGAAGATTGAAATGTTTCAGAAATGTCAAAATGTTTCATTTCAACCTAACTCAAATTTTTTTCTTTCCGTTTCAGGCACTTCGGGAAAAGCAAAGGAGTACTAGATTCATAAAATAGGGAGAAGGGTGGCCACCCTTGTAATCTTTAGCCCAGTAGTTAGGAAACTCACCTGCGTTGTAGGAAATCCAGATTTGATTTCTCCCTCAGGTGGAGATGGGATTTAAACTTGGGTCTCCTACATCACAGCAGAGTACCCTAGCCACTGGGCTATGAGTTACTTTGGTATGGCTTTTTCTCACTCTCCTGTTGAAGCTGTTCCACTTCTTATAAGTCATAACTGGAGTAGGGACTTGAATACGGGTCTCCCACATACTCCATGAGTGCCCTGACCATCAGGCACTAAAGTCATTCTACTCTTTGCTGGGCTCAATCACTATTCATTGTCATTCATAATGGCAATAGTCATTGGGACAGAGAAAGAAAGTGAGTGACTCTATAGTCTAATAAAGCAACAAGGTGGGTGGGGTAATATCTTTTACTGGACCAACTTCTAAAGCCTAGTGGTAGCGCACTCTTCTACACTTTGTGCAACCCATGTGAAAAGAAGAGGAGGAAACAGAACCCAAATCTCCTATGTCCTGGATGAGTTCCCTAGCCACTGGGCTAAAGGTTATAAGGGAGGCCAGGTCTTCCCCTCTCCCCATCATTTAATCTCCTCCACCTTTTGTCAAAATGCCCCAAATCGAAACATTCTGAATTGGGTTTATTTTGACTTGACTTGATCTTTTTTTGACTTTTTGATTCACCAATATTTTTTGAAATTTTTCATTTTTGATTAAACAACTTCTTTTTAAATCCCTTTTTGGAATTTCTAGCAAACTAAAAATTCATTATTTCTCCAGGTCAACTTATGATCTCTTATATAGGGGTAATACTTACCTACTTG